TTGTATGACTATGAGTGGGAGAGGGTCGAGTCATTCTCGTGGTGTTCTGCAGATCAATATCCCGAGGTAGGAGGGGCTGGTCTGGGGTGGGTGGTGATTGCCCTGTGGCTGGGGCAGGGGGGTAGGATCTGCCTGGGAGGGGCATTGGGGTATAGGGGGTGTAGGAGTTACCAGGTGAGAGTCTCGCTCGCCAGTGTATTCTGGTGCCTCGGCTTAACAGCTGCTATACAACCTGTTCTTTCTCTTATCTCCACAGGACATGCATGCTGATGGCCATAAACCTGGCCCGCAGCATGGCCAGCCTGGGTCACACCACGGACCTGCTGGCCCCTACCATGGCCCTAGTGGCCCTGGAAGTCTGAGAGATAGGCTTCTAGGGCGTCGAGGGGCCCCCGCCCCTGGTGTTCGAACCGACCACATGGGTCAGACCATCCTGGAACACGAAGATAACCTCAGTGATAAGGAAATCTACCCTGGGCACCCACAGCAGGGGCAGCAGGGACCCCATGCCCAAATCCCAGCCATAGGTGAGTACCACGCCCTCTACTCCCACCTCGACCACCTGCGGCCATTGGAGGTGGCCAGAGACGCATGTGAGGGAACTAGAAAGGCACCTACAACCCTTGCAGAGCACTTCAAGGTGCTAATCTCTCTGAATATCTCACCACACTGCTGTTGCTGATGCTGATGCTGCTGCTGCTGCTGCTTCACTGTAAACATATTGCTTTGCTTCACTCTTTTACTCATGCTATTATAAAACCCTCTAAAGTCAAACTTTTCAACACCTTTGAAGCTAAATGAATGATAAAGCTAAATATTATATTGAACAATACGAATTAGAATTAATGTCATCATATATGATGTTTCGAGACTTGATTTAGTATTATTTATAGATTCGTAACTCTTAGATTTTAGTGTTAATTGGGTAATGATGAATAAGATTGCCATTTTCTCTCTCCCCCCTCCACCCCCACCTCCTCCCTGTGGCTCTCTCTTGGAAGGCTCCACAAGGAGTGGCTTGGCCAGACTCTCAAACTCTTTGTTCAATACCATAGGGCAGTTAAAAGGTAAAGAATGCTCTTGCTCCTTCATAACATAATGGAAATTGTAAATAGTCTGAATGGATCCCTCCCACCCTTAGGCAATCCTTACACACTGTAAGAGACTTTAGACGTCGTACGTCTTTTTAGCTGTCTTGTGAGTTTCAGGTTTTTTGAAGTGTAGTCTTCGTGAATAGTGTTGCTATATGTTACTGTCCTTTTCTACTACCAAGGGACTGAGATTTATAACTTTCTCTAGTCTACAGAATTTTCAGAGTATCCCCGTAGAAATATATATTTTTTATCTTGTAAACTCTTTGAGGACAGATTACCATATGACAGATGTCGTGTTGGTCTGAAAGCTTTACGATGAAACCAATTTTTTAACTTAGGTGTATAACATGCTTCATTTGGGAGATCATTTTTCAACGGAAGAAGCCTAGATCTTGATGTCTTCCGCTTCTCCAATCCTCCACATCATGTCTGGAGTTATTTTTTGCGCCTTAAATACGAGACTGGTGGCAATGTTTTTGATCTCGTTCAAAAGCGACACTTGCCCTGTCAGTTTTGCATTGCACGTTACCACACCATACAACTACTATCATGCTTCATCACACATACTTCCTGCTATGCTACATTGTACAGCTACTTGTTTCTGTACACTCAGTCACTTTCACCTGAATTAGTCGCCTATCACTCCGCTTTCTCTCCGAGCGTATGTCGTGCATACATTGTGGGCACATCATATGTACCTTGTGCATGAATTGTGCGTATATTGTTCGTACATTGTACGGACGTTTACGTACATTGTGCATACCGTGTACTGTCTTGCGTACACAATGAATTTGCGGAACACAGCCCACTTAATTCTGCATGATTTAACACAGATGCCTGTATGATGAAAGTAATGAATCGTGAGAGCATGATACCCAGTATATATATATATAATATATAATATATATATATATATATAATATATATATATATATATATATATATATATATATTAAATATATAATTTTTATTTTAATAACTTTTATGACAGAGAACCAAATTTCATAACGCTATGTTATTTGGCCTCTCCAGGGTGTAGGGATGTGTACATGAGCTTTTGTATACATGTGTGCTTGCATGTGCGTGTAAGCTATACAGACACTAGTCTATTTGTCCTCTGCGGGGTGTGAGCGCCTGTTAACGGTCTCTGTTTTTCTTAAACTACTTTTGGAATAAACGCAAAACGCAGGACTGAATCAGTACTAGCTAATTTAAAAAAAAAATAATGATTATTCGAGCACAATCGAGTTTAACAATATTAAACTTGTATATATTAAAATTAATATATTTATTTAATATGTATTAAGCGTTTTAGGTATAAAACACTGTTTTAGTGCTCTTAATCTTCATTTCAATATCTCTATTCTGTCAGTAATTTATTTCACATAATACAAATTTGTTGGCATAAAAAATTCTAGGATCTTAAATATCATATAAATCTTACTGAATTTATATTGATTTTGTGAATGTGGATTTATAGTTTTCATTGCATTGTTTTTTTCGAATTGCTTAAATTTTTATGCTTATATTTATAGGCTTACTCAATTAGGTTTTGCAATTATCGATGAAAGATTTGCCACAAAAATATTATTTGAAATTTTTTTTTTCAGATTTCCACATTTTAATATTTTAATAATTTTTTATCAGTTTTGCAGTTATAATTATTCAGTTTATTTCAGTTACATTTACATTTAATTTTCTTAGTCGTTTTCCTTCGCAACTTTTATATTAGTTGGGGCCATTGAGTAGTGTACTCAGGAAATAGTTAAAAGCAGATCTGTGCTTGTAGGGGCTGAGTCATAGCTCCTGGCCCCGCATGGTATAGTGATAGTTATCAGTCATTAGACTCACCCCACAAGAGGTCATTTAGTCAGTGTTTGTTAACTCAAAATCAGCTGGACAAGATCATTGATCAAGTTTCGTGAAATTCGTAATGATCGATTGAAACCTTTAGTTTTTTCAAGGAATGACCACAATTGAAGCCTGAGGTCTAGCATGTACTAATCCTACTCACGTTGCTTTATATTCCTTGAAAAAGGCAAGGAAATAAATACGGAAAGATTTATATCCAGTAAATACAGTATGCAGTTAGACGAGTAGGTAACTTACTGATTAACGGGTTTAAGCAGAGCAATGACTCACGAATTTCTAATAACACGAGTGTAAACAAACCACGGAATGGGTGGTGTTTGAACGTACGGCGTTCAAACACCACCCGTTCCGTGTTTTATGTTTAAGAAGTGCACTTCGGGCAGCCTTAAAACTAACTTAAAACTATATTGTTATCATTTATTGCGTTAATGCACTGTTTTACACTTCATAGCATTGTAGCTTTTAACACATTAGCATAATGAAATAAAGCGGAGTGCTGGTTATATGTATGTAAATATAATAGCAACAGTTGGTAAAGGGTTATGAAAGTTGTGATCTGGACAAATTGTTACTCATATTATATATAATTAATATATATATATAATATATAATATATTATATATATATATATATAATATATATAAATAATGTGCAATAAGATCACGGTAAACAGGTGATTTCAGAATATGCAAAACAACCACTGTGAAAGACTAGAGAACTTCCAAGCGTTTTCGTGACTACTCACATTATCAAGGAACTATGAAAGTAAAGCATCCAAGGAAGGTATATAAGGGGTCTGGCCAACACCTCACTATCAGATCCCACAACAGTTAAACACCTGACGCGCGCCGGCCCAACTGGACAGGTCCTTCGCACAACTCACCAACAAACTATTCTACCCAAGAAAATTTTAAAAATTATTATTTGTCCAGTGTATTATTAAATTCTTCCCAAATTCTATTAATTATAAATGAATCTAATTTATATAAACCAAAGGAAATATTCATATTATTGTCAAAACTGCTTTTTATGAAACAAGATTCAATTATATTCCTGTCGACCATGGACTTGCTTGATACATACTTCTCAACTTTTTGAAAATCATTGGATGGTTAAAATCTCTTACATGAATAAATAGAGCATTGGAATCTTGTCCAGTTCTAATGCTATATTTATGTTGTTTTAATCTTAGTTCGAGATTTTTACCAATTTGACCATAATAAACTTTATCGCAAATTTTACAAGGAATCTTATAGACACATCCATCAGCATTTTGGGGGGAATTCTTTATCAAAAGTTTTTTTACTGTATCAAGATTTTTGAATACAACTTTAATATTAAAAGTCTTAAGAAGAGAAGGCATATCAACCAAGCTTTCATGGTAAGGGAAAACCAACATATTTTTAGTTGAATAAGGCTGGTTGTCCCTTTTTGGATCCTAAAAAGTATTTCTAGCAACTTTAAAAGATTTATCAATTACATTTCTTGGGTATTTTAAATCATTACCTATTTCATAAATTTTGGATATTTCCTCATCTATGAACTCAGGACTACAAATTCGTAAAGCTCTCAAAAACATTGATGAGAAAACAGACAGTTTGACTATCTTGATGCGAAGAATAATAGTGGACATAGGAACAGTTATTTGTAGGTTTTCTGTAAATTTTGAATTTGAATTCATTATTACCCTTAATAATTAAAACATCTAGAAAAGGCAATGAGTTATTTTCTTCAAACTCAACAGTAAAGTTTATAGAATGGGCTAAGCTATTTAATTTTCCAAGGAAATGGTGTATATCTACATTTTTGGGCATAAGAGACAAAATATCATCAACATATCTGAACAGGTGAAAGAGGATTTCCCATTGCCATACCAAACTTCTGAGTGTAAAACTTATCATTAAATACAAATTTTGCTTCAACAATGCAAAGTTTAATAAGTTTAATGATAGTAGGAACTGGCAATGGTAAATCATAGTTAACGAGTTCTTCAGATAAGAAACTTAATAAATCATCAGCTGTATAGCCCTTGTGGCTTAGCGCTTCTTTTTGATTATAATAATAATAATAAATCATCAACAGGAACTTTCGTAAACAAAGGAAGTAACACCAAAACTAACCATGTTAAAATCATTTAAGTCAAGGAGCTTAATTTATCAACTAAGTCTATGCTGTTTTTAACATTAAAGTTAGAAATTTTGCCAACAATGAGAATTATTCTTCAGAAACATATTGAAATAACTAAAATACAGGAGAAGGAAGCATTCAAAATATTGAGAAACAAAAAATACTCTTTTTAATCAGGCCATTCCATCAGAATGGAAACAAAGTATGTTGGATCATTGCTATAATAAATTCAGAAGAATTTGTAATGAACTAAAAAACAAACTACGAAGAAAATTAGACATTTTAATTGAAAATAGTGATTGGACAAAGCATGCTAATAACAATTTTGTAATTAACTTATCAGATGAAATTTTAGACAAAAATACAACTGCTGCTCTAGGTTTTGGCCTAAGTTTTGCAACTTCAAAAAATCTTAATAATGTTGAAATTGCAAAAGCCTTTTGTAACTTTGAAAAATTTTCTGATTTATCCTCTGATGAAATTAATATTAGTAAAGGAATGGTATATAGCTCTATGTTAAAACCAAACATTCCCAATTGCCCTCAAAGATTCTTTAAGTCTTATGATACACTTAATAACAATAAAATTTTGCGCCTTACTAAAGCAGACAAAATAAATGCAATAGTAATTATGAAAGAAAATGATTACCAAGAAAAAATTAATAATCTCTTAGATGATACTGAAACCTATTCTAAACTTAGGAAAAATTCCCTAGAAGCCGTTAACAACAATTTCAATAAGACAAAACTTCTACTGAAAGGCAAAGATGAATTAGTCAAACAATTTACTTACACGAATCCATCTTTACCTTACATGTATGGAATAATAAAAACACACAAACCAGGGAATCCACTCAGACCAATTATTAGCTCCATAGGGTCAGTTTCATATAAATTATCCAAATGGCTTGTTGATATTTTGAGCCCTATTGTTGGCAAATTTCTAACTTTAATGTTAAAAACAACATAGACTTAGTTGATAAATTAAGCTCCTTGACTGACTTAAATGATTTTAACATGGTTAGTTTTGATGTTACTAACTTGTTTACGAAAGTTCCTGTTGATGATTTATTAAGTTTCTTATCTGAAGAACTTGTTAACTATGATTTATCATTGCCAGTTCCTAATATCATTAAACTTATTAAACTTTGCATTGTTGATGCAAAATTTGTATTTAATGATAAGTTTTACACTCGAAAGTTTGGTATGGCAATGGGAAATCTTCTTTCACCTGTTCTTAGTAACCTATGCATGGAATTTTTTGAAACAAGGTTACTTAACACAATCCTCCCTAATAGAGCTAAATGGTTCAGGTATGTTGATGATATTTTGTCTCTTATGCCCAAAAATGTAGATATACACCATTTCCTTGGAAAATTAAATAGCTTAGCCCATTCTATAAACTTTACTGTTGAGTTTGAAGAAAATAACTCATTGCCTTTTCTAGATGTTTTAATTATTAAGGGTAATAATGAATTCAAATTTAAAATTTACAGAAAACCTACAAATAACTGTTCCTATGTCCACTATTATTCTTCGCATCAAGATAGTCAAACTGTCTGTTTTCTCATCAATGTTTTTGAGAGGTTTACGAATTTGTAGTCCTGAGTTCATAGATGAGGAAATATCCAAAATTTATGAAATAGGTAATGATTTAAAATACCCAAGAAATGTAATTGATAAATCTTTTAAAGTTGCTAGAAATACTTTGTACAATCCAAAAAGGGACAACCAGCCTTATTCAACTAAAAATATGTTGGTTCTCCCTTACCATGAAAACTTGGTTGATATGCCTTCTCTTCTTAAGACTTTTAATATTAAAGTTGTATTCAAAAATCTTGATACAGTAAAAAAAACTTTTGATAAAGAATTCCCCCCAAAATGCTGATGGATGTGTTTACAAGATTCCTTGTAAAATTTGCGATAAAGTTTATTACGGTCAAACTGGTAAAAATCTCGAACTGAGATTAAAACAACTTAATATAGCATTAGAACTGGACAAGATTCCAATGCTCTATTTATTCATGTAAAAGATTTTAACCATCCAATTGATTTTCAAAAAGTTGAGAAAGTAATATTAAGCAAGTCCATGGTCGACAGGAATATAATTGAATCTTGTTTCATAAAAAGCAGTTTTGACAATAATATGAATATTTTCTTTGGTTTATATAAATTAGATCCATTTATAATTAATAGAATTTGGGAAGAATTTAATACACTGGACAAATAATATTTTATAAAATTTTCTTGGGTAGAATAGTTTGTTGGTGGGTTGTGTGAAGAACCTGTCCAGTTGGGCCGGCGCGCGTCAGGCGTTTAACTGTTGTGGGATCTGATAGTGAGGTGTTGGCCAGACCCCTTATATACCTTCCTTGGATGCTTTACTTTCATAGTTCCTTGATAATGTGAGTAGCCACGAAAGCGCTTGGAATTTCTCTAGTCTTTCACAGTGGTTGTTTTGCATAATATATATATATATATATATATATATATATATATATATATATATATATATATATATATATATATATATATTATATATATAATAGCACATAGGCCGTTTCCCACCAAGGCAGGGTGGCCCGAGAAAGTAACACTTTCATCATCATTCACTCAATCACTGTCTTGCCAGAGGCACGTTCACACTACAGTTACAGAACTGCAACATTAACACTCCTCCTTCAGAGCGCAGGTGCTGATTATGATGGTGATTATACAGAATTTACATCAAATTATAGTGTCTTTAACTATTTTTTTTAAAGCAGTTGGCTGATAAGGATCCTTTAGCACCATCTGGCAGACAGTTAAAGTAGATCAAAGTTCTTAATACCGAAATATGCAGTTCATCTCAGAATATAACTTTAGCATATTAAACCACTTATGAAGACTAAGGAAACAAGAAGTTCTAAACTTCACATAATGGAAAAGACCCAGAGATGATCATAGTACAGGACCCTACTTATAGAGCAAGTTAGGTTTCAACTTCTCTAGAGCAAAACATTTCCAAATGCATATAAAATCCTGATAACCTGTTTACACTATCACATGTAAAATGAGCAATAGGGCTAGGCCTATAAAAAAAATGTATATACAGTGCACACACAAAAATATTGTCGTTCTTAGCTTATAGTGAGTGGTGAATATATTTATTATATGAAGTCTGAATCAATGAAGAATGGGTATAGTAATTGAAAACTGCTGCATTAGTGAAACGCCGTAAAGTGACGTGCTCTAAAGCGGAGTCTTCCTTTAGCTAGCTGTACCTCAGGCAAATAACTTCTGCAACATATGTTCGTCTGGCAAACAAGATAAACTCTGTCTTTACATTTCAGTGGTAAAGCTTAAGAATAAGACACACTAGACCTCCTAACTGAATCTCATTCGATCTTTGAGAAAAAAAAGGATGAATATGTCCGTGATCCTTATCTCTCTATCTCATGATCCTGTTCAGCTGGAATTATTAAGTGTCTAAAGAAATAGTTAAGTGCTGGGGTATAGACTTTTGTTCACCTAAATTCAGTGATCTGTTAGTCTCGGTACCTTCCATCTTCAAGTATCTTATATTCTGAACTGGCTTTAGATATCACAGCAGAGAATCTTGTCATACACCATCATATTTTGTCCTTTAGAGCACTTTTTTCATATTCTCTACAAGTTCTAAGTCTAAACTGTATCAATCTGTATTTTCAATCATTATATATACTTTTAGTTAACTTTTTTACTTCCATGTTTGTCAGAGCCTGAACCATCTCTTTTCCCTACCAGGGAAAGGCGCCACCCGAGCTAGACGTAAGTACCAACGCTTTCTCACAGGGAATACACAAAAGGGTTACAGATTTTTATTTGGCATTCATTTTCGTAGATACATGTGTGTGTGTTTGTGTGTGTGTGTGTGAGAATGGTTCCCTCACCTATGAAGTAGCGGCGTACAAAAGAAGTATACAGATTTTCATTTGGCTTTCCTCATTTCTATTGCTTTTATTAGAATGCTTTAGTTTCTTTAAAATCCTTTGGCAAAGGGGTAGTGGCATTTTTTGAGGTTTTTCTGTTTGAGAGACGACCGTCATCTTGGTTCTACTTTCCTTCTGATTTAACTTGTCTTGTCATTGGTCTTTAGTGACTTTCATTGCGCATTTTTTTGGGGGGATTCCTACATTTATTGAAAGACCTTAATAAAATTGAGGATTTTCTTTGGATATTTAGATTTATTCAAGAACATTGACTTACCTGTAGCATTCTCGCAACTTGGTTCAGGTTAATTGCAAGTTTGGGCACCCCAAAAATAGTCCTACAGATGGAATTTAATTGGTTTAGGAATATTCTGTGTTGGGTTATCTACTAAAGAGTTTAGATTTCAATAACCTTGAGTGACATCTTTGCAGTAATGGCGTGATAAGCACCATTTAGTTGTCATATCAGTAAGTAGGAAATACAATCTATTTAACAATGTTTCAACACAGAAAATTGTGTATCGAGAAGTTTGACACGTCTATACTTCGTTTTGTGCTGTGTATATATTGCCGACGTGGCTGATCGGTAAGTTCAGTTATGAAGTGCTGGTTGGGAAACAGAGGATCGATCCTCCATTAATCCTTAAGCAGAATAACTTGCATAGAACATAAAAAAGGAACATTGCAACAGGCCTACTGGCCCATACTAGGCAGAAAGTAATTAATAATAATGTACTCAAGGTAACCACCTTAAGTACATTGTTAACATATTCTACAGCATCCCAGGAACACTCATGATGCGAGGTTGATGGAGGATAATATCTCGACTTTCTACAAGTCACTCTGGAGAGAGTTGGAAGATATTATAGTGCGGAGAAACGAGTGGAACATTAGCAAACATTTTAATCTTAGCCAACTTGTGAAGGATTCGAACCTATACTCATCTCCCAGGGGATCCAAAATATCAGTTTTATGGTTCCTCAGTGCACTGCTCTAGTGATTCTCTATATGGATGGAATGACGGATATTATTCATCACGTGCTACTCCATATCTGGTAACACTCGTCATGTATAGTAGACGAAGAAGGAATTCATCATCGCGAGAAATTTTTAGCATGATGCATCGAGAGGCTATCTCTTCTTTTCCTACTTCACCTTACAAGGCATAACCAAGAGCTGCAACAGTGTAGTTTCAACGTTGCAGGGCGTTTTCGCAATGAGATGATGAAAACTGTAACAGGTTCTGTTGGTGAAAAGCTGTAACACCACTTTACAAGGTGGATCTAGCAAACATGTTTTCTGTACCTCTCCAGATTCTGGATGCAACAAAGCTCTTGGGAAAATAAATTTTTCTTCCCCATAATGCAACTTGTGTTATGACCCTATGTGGTCTGTGGAACCACCAATAATAATGTGGTCGACCGGGATATAACCATTAGAAACCACTAAAGCAAAATTTAGATGATTGCCTCCATGCTAGGCCGTCGTCAAGTCACATTTGCAACTGAACATTAGTCCAGGATGATCCGAACCGTTGCTTAAGTTTTCTTCTCCATCCTGTCTGTATTTTATACCATTTATCTCCATCTTTTCGTCTCTGTTGTGGGTAAGCTGTGAATTTTCACAGCCCCGGAATTGTGATTTCTGTTCTTCAAATATCTATCGTCTTTATCTGACTTCTGGTTCAGCTCTTTATTTTCTGTCGCCTTTGCTTGGTTCTTATCACATTAAATAGCCGTTCTAGCTTCAATAATTTATTTTCTGTACTCTAAGTTTATTTCCCCCTTAAATAGTCTACCAAACTTTATTAAAACACTTCAACAACGTTTTGCTTTGGCTTTTTAATTTGCACGGTTTTAACCCTCACAATTCCCTTTCAATGTTATATTTCTGCCTGAAACACAGTATGAGAAATATTCCCTCTGATCTTCCTCGTTTTCTTTTAATATTACATTTTTATCATGTCTCCACTTTATCACGTTCCTTATTTCGCCCAACGTCTCCACTTTACCATGTTTTTCCTTTCCCCTTTATTGTCATGTTGCCCATTTTCCCTAAACATTATCCCTTTGTCATCTTTCCCTTTAATGTCATCCCTTTATCATGTTCGTCCTTCCCTTCAAAATGATAATTTTACGTTCCTCCTCTCTCAATGGCACCTCTTCATCATGTTAACTGTATTACTCCAATTCACATCTCCATTTCCAAGGAAACATGAATCCGCCATCATTCGTGTTACCTTCCTACTGAAATTTACCTATTCCTCTCCTGTGTAAACAGCCACAACTTTCGTACATTCTGCTACAGTAAGTACACTCCTTCGTGTTCCCCTTAGAAACTGTAAAACAATGTATTGTTGTACACTCGCCGGATACCAGAGGTGACATGGGTCAACTAGAGACATGTTATAAGGTAATAGAGAATTGTTCCATTAGCTTTCCATGAGATGTGACCAGTGTTTATTATTGTTTTTCATAAGCCTCGCTTTCTATACGAGCTCTGGCATTATCTTCATCAAGTTTCTCTGTTGCTCAGCACACAAACACATTCTCATATTGATGCGCTCTCTCTCTCTCTCTCTCTCTCTCTCTCTCTCTCTCTCGTTCACACACACACACACACACACACACAGAGCACTAGTTGCTGACTACGCATGGGAACAGCTGTAGCTAAAATTTTATATATTATATATATATATATAATATATATATATATATATATATATATATATATATAATGTACACACACCACGCTGTATTTATATCACTGACTCCATCATCAAGAATTGTAGCACATGAAATTATGCACAAGAGTAGATGTGCATGACAATAATGGAACATTCTAAGTGATATTGTCACTCCGAGGTTCTAGGACATCTGGTAGAACCCCATTACCCCGTATGAGCCAGCATGTTGACTGTGACAACAATACAACTGGGAATAAAGACGTATAATGTAGATAGTATTTAGGCGACATTCCGTTCATCATTGAGCCTTTGAAAGTCTCAATAAGCTCAATCATGAGAGAGACATCGTTGCAAGTCTTGACTCTCTGCGTTACATGACTTTATGCTTCAGTTTGTCGGGTAATAGTAACTGGTCTTGTTTGCGGTTAAATGATTCGGTTTTTCCATAGAGATTATTAAGAGAACTGATGCTTATTAACAGCTTATTTCTGATAAATCAATAATTGCCTTATGATCTTTACTGGTGTAACGATCTGCCACAATATGACGAGAGACTAATTTTGCAGTTTATTTTAATATTCGTCACGCCACTGGGGACTTTTTATATTTACTAAAAATATGAAAATCACGCATGTTTGTCATGAGATACGATCACTGTATTTTTAAATTGTTGGATGACAGGAACTGTCTAAAAGTATGGTAGAAGTACCCTTCTTGCTGAGCAAACTTCTTTCATGAAAAAAAGTTTTGGTCTGGGTAGACTTTGAAACTACGAAAGACAATTGAGAGAAGAAAGATTGCTTAATCTCTCTCATTAGCTGTTTGAAGTTAAACTTGTGTTAATTTTAGTATTAGTTTACCAGAAAGATACTTAAATAAGATCCTATAATATCAAGTATAATCATTAATAATTTTCTTCATGAAATTTTAAGCTATCTCCCATTCCTTTGGTGAAACTTAATTCCCTCCCATTTCCCAGGTGCTGTATAACACCTACGGGAAAAGAGTTTCCCAGAAATTACAGCAATATAAGCAAACATTGACCTCTACTAACACGTTTTTCAAGCTTCCCCATCACTACCACTTGCTTCCTAGACTGCTATACTTCTAAGTCAGTCCCTCGACACAACACTCACCCTGGAGTGGCCCTAACAAACCATATGGAGACAAAACGAAGAAGAGAATATTAAGACCTTGCACGGTCACCTTCAGCAGTATGTTGAAGAGGACTTGACGCCGAGGTGTTTTTCACCCTGTTGAAGAGGATCTCGAACTAAGGTGTTCTTCAGCTTGAACAGCATCTTACACTGAGGTGTTCTTCAGCAGCGTGTCGAAGAGGGCCTTAGTTTGAGGCCGAAATATGCAGCACTCACTTGAATTGCTGTTATATTTTCACCATGTGGTTTGATTAATTCCACTAACCAGTGTTTATTACACTTTTGTGTTTGGAGTACCTTTGGAATGTTTATAAGCCATACCACACTACATAGTATGGTCAGTACTCTTTGATGGTAGTAGTAGTAGTTAGTGTGATAGTGGCCATTTGTTTGTGTGAGGGAGGCAACCACTAATCCGCACTTCTCTGCAGAGATAACCAAAGACAATGAGGGTCATGGTTCGCTGGAAGCATTCAACGAAGAGGATTACGAGGTTGGTCCTGGGGGCCGGGGGCGCTTCGACCCCCGAGCGCCCCCTCCCAGGTCCCACCAAGAGCGAGGACGACCCCCTCCACCCCCCCATCAGCATAGACCTATGCCCCGCGATGCTAGAGAGCCCCGTGAGGGGCGCGACCCCCGCGATCAACACTACCGAGAAGGAAGAGATCCGCGAGATCCAAGAGACAGAAGAGACCCACTTATGCGAGAGCCTCACGCGCCACGCGATCCCCGCGACGCACGAGGGGACGTCCGCGATAGGTATGAAGGCGAAGGACGACACAGAGGGGGAGAATACGGACGCGAATACGGGCGTGAGGGTCGTGGGCGTGGTGGCACTGGACCAGGAGGGGAGCAGCACACGCGTATATTCGTGGCACTGTTTGACTACGACCCGCCTACCATGAGTCCCAACCCTGACGCTTGTGACGAAGAGTTAGGCTTTAGAGAAGGACAACTCATCAAGGTCTTCGGCGACAAAGACCCAGATGGTTTCTACTGGGGTGAGGCTGGAGGACACTCTGGCTACGTCCCCTGCAATATGGTTTCCGAAGTCCAGGTTTGTGTCTCGAACTGTTGCAGTTCTTAGCACCTCAGGGATAGGCGAATACAGACAGGAAGTGCATGTGTTTTTCAGTAGACGGAGGATCAAGCCTTCATGTCTCGCACTGGGTTTATCAATTAGTGCATCAAAATTTATTCTTAGGTAGTTGTAGTTTAAATTGATGCAATAAATAGGAATATTATTGAATTACTTTTGATTATTTCTATGTCACCTTGACTTGTAATTATTTTTATCGTGGGGAGCGTTGAACCGTAGGGATTATACAGTGCTTGGGGTGTGGGGGATGGAAGGCATTCAGGCTCAATCCAGGGAACTGGAGCACAGATTCAATTCCCTAGATCAAGAGCCCCTCACCAGCATCAAGGACACTTCCTTGAGGACTTGACTTATTTATATGGATAAATTATTAATTATAATATCAGGAATTCAATAGTAACCTAATAATGATATAATTCCAATTAACATCATTGTTTCTTGCCAAAATTTAAAACTGATCTCATTTGACCCCTCAAGGGAGGCTCCTTGATGCTGGTGAGGGGCTCTTGATCTAGGGAATTGGATCTGTGCTCCAGTTCCCTGGATTCACCCTGAATACCTTCCACATTCCCCCTTCCCCTGAATAATTCCTACAGGTTTAGCATGCCTCATAATAATCCCATATTCAGATTAATAGATCTGTAGTGTTACAGTATCACTAAAGTTCTCTTATCACATAATTACACTAACTTTCCTCTTTTTTTCTGGAATTTATCTTCTTAAACATTACCAGGATTACAGATTCAAGTTCCTTTCAATGGGTGCAACCTCATAACAGCAGTTCTTAAAGCAACATATATGTAGGATAATAAAGGTAAGTGCTGAACTTGAAAGGGTCAGTGTAAGAGGCAACAAGGCAACGTTTCGCTCTTAAGAAGAACATCCTAGATCAGTAGTCCCCAACCTTTTTGCTATGAAAGGGCCAATTTGACGAGTCTAATTTAAAAGAGGACTGCATTTTGTAATTTATATGGATAATATTTTATAACTGTTGACATTGTGCAGTGTGGAACCTACATAACATTAAATTCATAATTTCATGTGAGGGCCATATCCATTTTCTAGGAGGGCCACATGCGGCCCTCGGGCCGTAGGTTGGGGGGCCACTGCTCAAGATGCTTTTAAAAAAGCTCTTCTTAGAGCCGTAGCATTTATCCAATAATGGCTCTTTCTACCGCAGCATTATTCCAATAATGGCTCTTTCTGCTGCAATATTGTCCCAATAATGGTTCTATTCTAACACTGTCCCAATAACGGTTCTACTGTAACACTGTCCCAATAATGGTTCTACTGTAACACTGTCCCAATAATGGTTCTACTGTAACACTGTCCCAATAATGGTTCTACTGTAACACTGTCCCAATAATGGTTCTACTGTAACACTGTCCCAATAATGGTTCTTTCTACCGCAACATTGTCCCAATAATGGCTCTTTCTACTGCATGTCTGTTTTCATTTCTGTCGTCTGTATATTCAAAGAACCTGTAAGGGTCATACTGCACTAAATAATTAACCTTAATATCAATTCAGAATTACCTAGTGCTGTAATAAATCATGGGCATCATACATAAACAAAAAAAAATACATGGGGAATTCAAGTGGTACAATTGAATTGCCCGTTCTGGCCTCTGCAGTGATATGAAAAATCAGTGCCTCAGTGGTAATAGACAGCCCATTTTGTCCAGTGGCTACACTGATGAACAAGCTTTAGTTGGGACAATGTTTCGCTCTGCATAGACATTTATCAAGTGAAAATAAAGCGAAACATCTTTGCATTCACTCTATTTAGCAGTATGCTGCTTCATCCACCTATTTTTTTCAGGTTGATGACGACCGGGTGGCCCAGGAACTCCTGAAGGAGTCGGAAAGTGGGCGCCGCAGACGGGACGGGTCAGTGGGACGCCGTGGGCATCAAGGTGACCGCTGGGGGGACATCTACGCCAATATGCCAGTTCGCAAGATGATTGCAATGTATGACTACGATCCTCAGGAGCTCTCTCCAAACGTGGATTCCGAGGTAGGAGATATCGTTCGCTCGGCCACTAATCCTCTTTCTAGCTCGTTAACAGTGTTCCTGTGTTTGCAGAGGTCGATATTCACTTGAAATAAGTGAGGCTTATTATATTGCAGGAGAAACAAATTGTGTAGAGCAAGAAGACTGCATCAAATTCATCTTTTGCCCTTAATCCATTCTTGTGTAATGTGGGTATACGTCGTGCCGAATAGGTAAAACTTCCAATTTTGGTTTAAAAAGCAATGCTCTTCTTGGCGAATAAGGCATGCAAAAGTTTGTGTTTGCAATAATTTAGCAAAAATTGTTCTGAACCTAATGAAAAAAATATATATTTCTTTGTGTTTATTTTTAAATTATTATAAGCTTACCTGAAATATATTTAGTTGGATTAGGCTAAATTAAATTGCGCTTGTTATAATAAGGTTAGGTAAGTTTTCAAAGGTTCTTTTGGTACAAAATTATTAATTTTTACACTAACATAAATGAAAAAATATATCTTTAAAAGTATAAGAGAAAATTTTAGGGAGAACTTAATTTTAAATTTCTTGCTAAGTCACCAATATTACCTATTCGGCACAACATATAATATATATATATATATATATATATATATATATATATATATATATATATATATATATATATATATATATATATATATTATATTATATATATGCACATGTACATAGTTTTATTTTCCACACATGACTTCTTCCTCTTCATTGCATACTTCTGATGTTCTCCCTGGCTTATCCTTCTTGATAGATATTACTGTATACAGAAATTCTGAAAATTGAATATTATTTAAGGGTATTATATAATAAAAGGAATATCAATTTCTGCAACACAGACTTTATTATATGAAAGTATTTGTATATAAGGAATATAGATGGAATATTAAAATCAGATCACCGGTGGCTTAGTGTAAATAATAATAATATATAACATACTAATTAAACAATAATTTTGTGGAAAACTGGAGATTAACTTCTAAGTAACGTGAGATTCTTTTTAGTGACTGTTAGCTAAATCTGACGAGAGTTCGTCTAAGGTGATGCTCTGCAGTTTTCCATTCTGTGTTTAAGCAAAAGGAATTTTCTTAGAGTACACACACATGACAGTTATCTTGCTATAGTACAACAGAACTGAGATTATGAAGATCGAGAAGCGATAGGAAGCACTCTGCACTGTGTTGTGTCTGGTTGATGTAGCACCAGTGTATGTTTGTAGCATATGTAACTATGTCTAAAGCTGTCTCACACTAGCTTTTTTTATTCTATGTATGGGGATGGTGAGCAGTTTTACATCATTCCTTTACAGAGTTTCATGTTAGTATTTTATTCTATGACAGTTAAAAGCATTTCTTTAAATTGTTAGTGAAAAAAGTCACAGTACTGTGGCTGAAACATTTCAAAACAAGTAACTTTAAGGAGAAAGTTCAGATGACGTTTCTGTCAGTTCTGAACTTGATAGCAATCCTGGATGGATCGAAACTTCATCCGAAATATCTTCAAACTGTGACTGAGTTGTGAATGTTTTAGGGATTTACTGAATGATATAAAATAATAACACTGTACAGTATTTTCATATCTTTTCTCAATGCACAGGTATTTCTCTAGCTGTTCTCTCCCTTTTTCACATCTTTTTTAATTCTTCTTGTCAAGTTCTTGAAAGCTGTGAGCCTATTGTATTCTGCCCAATTGGCAGATGCATTTATAAAGTGTGTTAGGGCGTAACTGTTCGTTCGTTTGCTCTCTCCGTTCCTTTGCTTCAGCACCGATCATGGTTACTGCTACTGCACCAACTCTGTTCCTTAAAAAGGCTTTCTGTCTAGTTATCTTTTAAGGCATTGTATGCACTGTTCGGATTATACTTAATCTGTCTTCTCTCTTTACCTTATTGTAGTGTTGGGAAGCGTGATGAAAGGATTTAGAAATGTGTCAGTGTGTATAGAGGTATCCAGGTGATTCTCTATGCAGGAAGAATTAGAAAAAATTGGGTCTGCAGGAGTAAATGTTAGTAAACTAGGGAGGAGACAGACAACAAAATAATTTTATGAAAATGCAGGCAAGAATAATTGTAGATGTGATCGTATCCTGTTTGCCTGACACAAAATTAATTATTGTGGGAATAATCTTTATTGAATTGTAACGGTGTAATACAAAAAAAAAGTGCAAAGGGGAATCTGTACATAGCATGAAACTGAGTAAATAAAATTAGAATGCAAAATATGGATAAAGATGATTAACTTAATCATTTTTTAAAGGGGGTTTAGAGACTTAATGAACAATTAATTCAAGCAACATGTTTATGAAAAGCATAAGAGGAGGAAAGGCATGGTTTTAATTTTAATTTGCAGGACAGTACCAATGAACAAGTGATAGTCGGAACTTGCGCTATTTTGCAATATTTCTCTGAAAGCTGACATTGGGTAGTATTTAAAGACGTACATTCCCTTCTCTAGTAAAAATTATTCATTGGGACAAATATTCAAGACAGTGGAGTCTTTTTCTTTTTTTTTTGTAAATAACATAAAAGTAGCTATTTCTTGCTTGAACAATAGTTTATATAGGAAGATAGTTGAATAATCTGAAAACGTCAGTCTTACATGAGCGGTTAAAGATGGCTACCATGAAGACAAACTCAAAACACTGTGGCTGGAATAATTCTGTACTAGCTCATTATTTGGAGAACCTAAACGAGGTTTCGGTTCATCATGAACCATTATCAAGCCACGACTTGTTAATGTTCCAGGATATACCGAAATACAACCCAGTTTCATTTCCAATTTGTGGGTTTTCTGCAAATAATTGGCAGCGAATGCAGCAATGGATAAGAAATACTATCGGGAAAGTATTTCAGATAGAGAAGACGACATGATCATCTGCCGTAAGCGTTGAAATGTCACAATGTACAGTATTACTAACAAATGTAAACAGGGATGTACTGTGTAGTCAGGGTGAATTACCATCTTCAGCAGTGCAATATTTGTCAGAATAAATGTAGTATGTACATTACTGAGTCTTGGGAGATGAAGGAACATTGTACTATCCGTAGATGTCGAGCATGTAGTGAGCTGTTTTCTTGAAGGCGACATCTGGCAAGACACTAAGTAGCTGATGGGAGGTGTACTTATAGGCGACATCAGGCAAGGTTGGACTGGAAAAGAAGTACCCAGTTATGGAAGGCAAGAGACGTAATCCGCCAGTCTGATGCACCATTAACCTGTGAATAATTAAAAAAAATTATTAAATCACAGTTAGACTGTCCTGTTCGCCAATTGCAACCATACTTGTAAGATTAATATTTTCTGATGAATATCATAGCATTTAATAACGACACTTGCAGTAAGAATGTTTTCGTACGAGCATCTTTAGGTTTAAAAAATTACACCTGTATGAGTTACTGGTTTATAAGCGTTTTAGGGCTCACAAACCACCTTTGTACTAAAATTCTGATACCATGAACATCTCGTGGTATGATCCATCATATGATGAATTATTCCTGGACTAATAGTTTAACTGAATCCACAGGGCATATTAACGATAAAAAGAAACTTTTATTACGAAAACGGTTCACTGTGTAGAGCTTTATGAAGATTACTTGAAGCTCTACACTATAAAAGCTTGTCCTAAAACAAGTTATTTTTTCTTCAATTTGGATCCTTTACTGAGGATTTGAGTACATTCACTATGTAATGACCACTTCTGATACGAATGTAATGAAATAAAATATTAAAAAGTATTCCTAGGCTTAATGTAATGCGTTCTTAAACATTTTTTTTCATAATCCTGTGTAAAAATTATTATAGAGCCTCTATAATTATCGCATTTCTGTGGAATTGCAAATTATAGACTTGTATTTATTACTTACCTAGTTTATTTCATACACAACATTACTAGGCTCAAATGGTTTCTACCCTAAAGAATTTGAGAAAAATTATGAACTTTGCAGCTGGTGAAAAGAATTAAGCTGCAGGTTTCGCCAGTGGCCCAGGTGACCGGCAAGGTTAGTGAGGTGATACGGGAAATGGGAACACTGCCAGAGGCTTCTAGCCCATCCGAAGGCCTGTTTATGAAATATGAGTTCGGCTACATGTCTGGTTAAACTGAAAGCTCTTCGATTCTGTTGGATTGTATGTCGAGTACAGACTACCACAGCTTCAAGCATCATCAAAAACTGACAAGGGAAAAGACAAGTGTCATAGCCACAACAGTGCAGGTGTCTGCATCTATCAGTGTGTTGATTGTAACCAGAGAAGCCTGCCGTAGCCTGCAGATTAGTTTGGAATAACACCAAGGTGATGATTAAGACATTTTTGCATCAGTTGGGGATCTTTATTGGTTAAACGTTTCGCCTACACAAAAGGCTTCTTCATATATAAAGGCAGCAGGTGTAATAGTGAAATGCAGATGATGTAATCAGTCCATCAACCTTGGAGATATGAGGTGGTCAGTCCCTCAGCCTGAAGAAAAGTTCAGCTCCTTAGCCTGGAAGGATATGAAATTGAGGCATAAAAGTGCACCAACGTGCTTGAAAGAGTCGCATGTCACGTGCATGATGAATGGACCTGACTTTACACCTCGTATCTTAGAACTTCCAACTGGTCATAACTAGACAAAACATGATGCAGATTTCTGGAAGTTGTACCAATTCCCACACCAAATAAAATCTGAAGGATTCAAGGAGCTTTCAGCTTATCTAAACTTCATAGTTGCTCATTGACCCGACAACTCACCCACTTTAATTCATTTGCTTATTGTTTTTCCTTGTGTATCAACTGAAGACGCTTGCTCCACAGGCGAAATCTCAGTAAAATTGCTCTTTCACTGTTTTTTTCGCCTTCTTAAAGAAATGATTAACATTAACATTACTTATGGTATTGATCGTTATGGAACAAATTTCTCGTGAATTTGGTCCAGATTAGTTTTATGAGAGTTCAGATCTTCTCATTTTAGATTATCAATATGGGAACATTCTTTAAAAATTTGTCACCTTGAATGATTTTGATTTTAATATTTGTTATTAGTAATCATTTGTGTGGCAAATATCGTTGTCCCCCATAGAATTCTTGCAGTTCACACTACAGATGTAGCACCTCCTAACCTGCTGGAATGAGAAGCTAGTACAGTCTAGTGGTTAGTGCAACAGCCTAGTAAATGCCAGTGTACAGGTTCGAGGCTCATTCATGTACTGAAAAATGTTTCAATTAATTAAGATTTTCTCATGTATTATAATAAATCAATATATATGTATACCATGACAGAGGATCGAGCCTACACACCTTGTACTGAATAAAGTCCATAATTTTAGCATTTTGCGAAAATTATATTAATTATACAAACTCTGCTAAATTATTCCTCGAGTTTTAGCCTAACGAATTCTCTTATTAACTAGTGCAAGCAATTGATTAAATAGTTAAATATGGTGTGAATAATCAAGATATTTAACTTTAATAGGCACAAAATCTCAATAACGTAAAGCAATTTACAAGATCAACTTGTCATTAGACAGACAATATCAGATTAAAGAATTTTTATTTTAATTTAAAAATCCAGAGTATTCTGGGTGTCTGGAAATTATATATATATATATATATATATATATATTATATTATATATAATATATATATATATAAAATATATATATAATATATATATAATATAACCAAAGCTTATCGCTGTATGACTCCTTCGAGTTTAGCTCTTTAAATTATAATAAAAATAATTTTATGGTCTGGCCTATGAAAAAAAAAATTATTTCTTAGCTGCCATGATGCTAGTTGGCAATTATTATTAAATAAGAAGCATTAAATACGTAAAGATCATAGAGGTCCTGGAAAATAGGAGATAATCCGACTGTAATTCATTAGAAGGGAACTCCTAATTCCTTGGATCAAGAGTCTTATCAGCAAGGGCCTCCCCTTGAAGAATCAGGTGGCTTGAGAAACATAAACAAGGCCTCTGGTATTGAGGCTGAGAATTACCTGGCTCTTAGAAATTTAAAAGTCAACCTTGTATGTTTTATCCTCGTTTCTGGTGAAGGGATATTAATCCTATGAATAGAAGTTGGTCTTCCCTTTCTCTGATCAACCCTATTGCATCCCATTACTCAGGAACTGTATGATTCTTATAGGTTTAATGCTTCTCTAAGCACATTAAGGGGCCGGAAATACTGATTTTTTCAAATCTGTTCTAAGAGTCCAAACACTTATGATCATGGGTATTCTGGGCTATTTAACACTAGAAGTGTCAAAGGAAAACTTGTGTGGGTCGTTAAGAGTATGATTTGCAGGGAACCTAACTCGACACACCCGTCATTACAGTTTCTGGTATTTATTACAAAGACCAACGTTAGACTGGCAGACGGGGGGGTCGAGCCTCCGTCACTCCCGAGAGTGACCCACACAAGTCTAGCATTCATATGGTTAAAATTTTGTTGTTAGTTACCTTTTGGTTTAATATTGTTATTCTACATGCTTAAGTGATAGTTTTTTTTTTTTACGTCGGATATTGCAGTATAATCTGAAGGTTAGTATTGTGTGTCAGCTACTTCTAAGTCGTTCTTTCTCTTACTTCTGTTGCTGCTGCTACTTATGTTCCTTTTCTTCCTCCTCCTCCCCCTCCACAATATATTCATTATCCCACTTTATTTCATCCCCCTCTTCACCTCAGAGTATTCACCTTCTTGTCACTCCATACATTTCTACACTTGCTTACCTTCCTTTTTCATCGCCATCTATATTGTGTTTTACTCCTTTCTTTTTTCATGAATGTCTTACAAGTATAGGTGTTGACATGAAGCTGGACTCTTTTCTTGTACACGTCCTCTGGTCCGTCTAGTGGCTCGAAATTAAAAATTATTTCGACAGGTATGGATGGACACTTCTAGCATTGCAAGCCTTGCATGATTTGCTCACATGTGATTTTTTTCCAATCTGACAATTGTGAAAAGCTGACTTGTCAGTGAAATGTTGCCCAAATATTGGCTTGTTCATCTATAAGTGTCTTCATACTACTATGTCTGATCCGTCTAGCCAGCCTAGGACTCTTGACTGTGCATACTTCCCTGTTCTAATGAACCTAGTGTAGTGTTATTGAGTGAGATGTAGAGTGTAAGGTGCAACCAGGTGTAGGAATTTCTTAAGAGGTGTAGTGGAGTGCTGGTGAGTGCAGGAGCTTCCTGGATCCAGCCTCAACTCAAAAGGACAGTGCTTTTTAAAACTATTGGCCAAGATGGGATGCACGTGTGTGTCGTGGCGATGATGTGGATTCCTTATATTAACACTACTCGATGGTCTTCGGCGTTCTGCATTACCCACAAAGCATTCGCTTGACTAGGCGGAAAACAGCGCGGCTTAATAATAGCAATCTTGTCATTGCCAGGCTTGAGTTGTAGTCCACTCTGGCCGGCATTAGTTTTAAAAAGATACCATTCTTCTTGAGACTTTGGGGTATGTAAGGTATTTAGATTATGGATTCTTGAGTGACTAACACAATGATTCCCGCTGCCCCACACCCGCCGTCCACACGCCCACATGCTGACTCCGTCCTCCGCCTCCTCTTGTTCTATCATGAAGGAGGTAAGTGACGCAGTGATGTTTACAAAGGAAAGTTTAGAGTTGAAGTGCCATGTTTATGTCGCCTAAATCTGGCCATATATTTACCAAAATAAGACTATACACTTGGGCCAGGCTAAACCCTCTCGGATAAACGGATTTTTAATAAAGCCTTTTCTGCCGGATTACGTCTCTTGAGTTTCCTTTAAATCCCCCTCCCCCCATCTCCTGTGTTACCCTTAGATCAATGATGGATTTCTTAGGTGGATTATCCGTTAATCTCGATTGGTGGTCTTGTTCCCAACTTCTGGTACCCCGCCTTTATTTTAGCTCAATATAAATGGAAGTATGTTGTGGTTGCTAGTGTGCTGTGTGCGGCTGAGGGAACGCTAAGTAGCTTAGTAGTCACAACTGTGTCAGGACAGTGGAAACTTGCTTACATTGCCGCCGCCGCCTCTTCCTCTTATTCCTGCATCGATTAGATCAGTATCCCTTCTCCCTTCCATCTTTAGAATACCACTTTAGTCTTGTAGTGTTTGCTGTAGTGTCCCTACCACCTTTAGTGTTTTCTGATTTTTAACCTGCTGCCTCTAGTCCAATGTCTCTTATTTCTCATGCCACATCTATTTTTTAAACTACTTTTATAGTAAAAATCAATGCTTGTATTTCATGTCACTGAGCTTTCTCATTCACCGTAAAGAAAGCTATCTTACATTCCCTACACATTTCCTGAGGTACTTCTTAGCCTTAAGAAGCTTTGTGTTCAATTAAGATTCATGTTCACTACCCAGATTTGTATCCTTCAGCCAACCAATAACGTGTTTTATAAAACTTTGTCACAAGTCCCTAAAACAATGCTTTCGTGAGAGTACCTTACCGGCTCGTCGAGTCTGAACGAGGTTTTAAGGGCATAGCACCGCCAGGTATCTGGACAAAAGTACAAGTCTTTGAAGATCATTTCCTTAGACTATACCAGACACTTTTCTGTGGAACTTGTCAATCTGCCATCTAACTTTTTTCTACAAAAGATGGTAGTGACTGAGCTTACACAAAAGAAATTACAGAACGGGTAGGAATTGAACGTATGGCAGGCTAGTCCTGAAACTCTCCCACCCGTTCTGTGTTTCGTTTGCAATCGTGTTACCACGATTTCGTGACTCGCACGAAAAATATTTTGCCACAAGAGTCCAGCACCTCAAAAAGTTCAAATGATTTTTGTCTAAGTACTTGCAATTTTGTCCACAAAGTTTGCATGTGTTGAGAGTGATTGAGCCTGGGAAGTGCTTAGACTCACTGTTTTCACCGTAGTTATCCTCAAGAGTAGACAGACCTTCCTTCAGTGCAGTGAAATCTTAATACGACTCTTGGACGCACCAGCCTAGCATGCGTTGATTTATTATACTGTGTAAAATTTAGTAGATGTAATTTTGGGGGGGACTCCACCACAGTCTTCCAAATTACTCCACAACTAAACCTCCAGTACAGCCTATATTACTCCACAACTAAACCTCCAGCACAGCTTATATTTCTCCATTACTAAACCTCCAGTACAGCCTATATTACTCCACAACTAAACCTCCAGCACAATCTATTTTGCCTAGCAATATACCTACAAACACATCCTTCTATCACTCTACTATAGAATCAAAATCAGTTTTCATAATGTCCACAGCCTGTTGAAGGTCATTTCTTTTAACATCTTTAAAACTTAAAACGGTTTTATCCTTAACACGCATTTTCTATTCAACATATTTCTGTTTAGTGGGATAACTAACAGTCTGACTGATCAGAGACCGGATCGCCAAGCTTCCATCATTGTGCTGAATAGTCCAGGACACACACACACTATGTTATTTCCAGTATGACTCACAAAATAGTAATGACAAGATTGCAAACAAACCATACCACGGATGGGGTTAGAACTCGCGATCAGAGAGTTTGTGACTCTGATCGCGGGTTCAAACCCCACCTAGTATATTTTATTTTAACACATCGGTCGTCTCCCACCAAGGCAGGGTGACCCGAAAAAGAAGAAACACTTTCATCATCACTCACTCCATCACTGTCTTGCCAGCATAATCTATATACCTCTATTATCTTCAAATACTCTGTTATATTGATCATATGATATATTCCTCTATATTCGCTCGTTCTATATACCGTAACATAATTAACATCTTACGTAAACCTTAACAGTAATTTGGAAGCAATATACATAATTGCTTCAAGCTTTATGGCTTGAGCTTAGTTAGAGCTGAAGCTTTAAAGAAAAGCTGAACCCGTGTGGGACATTTGGCATAAGGAGTGATGGAGGCTCGATCCGCCGTTAACTAAGTACAAAACAGATAGGTCTGGATAATTTTTAGTTCCATGTATATGCACTAAACCCTTATGGGTAGCACAGCGCCTGAGGAATAGGGGGCACGATGCTCAGTTTACATCACCTCCAATCACTTGGACCAAGAGCCCTTTATTGGCATCAAGGTATCACCCCTCTTGAAGGCAATGTTAAGATTATCATTTCCTGCCTGATATCACTCTTCGAGGGAAGTGCCTTGATGCCTGTGAAGGGATCTTGATCCACGGAATTTGAGCTATGCTTCTCTTCCTGGGATTAAAACTGATTAATTTAGATTTTTCCCCAAACGCTGTATTTTTCCCTCAGGAGTTAGAGCTTTCCCACGACACGTCACAGCATGTCTCCCTTCCCTCGAGTGAGCCAAATTAAAGACCTTGTCTACACCTGCACACTTGTCTACACCTGCAAACTTGTCAGCACCTTTACAGTTTTTTACACCTTCACACTTGTATACAACTGCATACTTATCTACACCTGC